CAAGTGCAAGGTTCTGGGTTCCATTCCCTGTATACCAATCCCCCACCCCAAAAAAAGAGAAGGAGGGTGAGAAAATTACTTAATCTGCAAAATAAGATAAAACCAATATTTTTTCACAGGATGCTAAAAAGATTAAAATGTAAAATGCATAGAATAATGCCTACACATATAAAACACTCAAAAATGTTTCCTATTATGCTATACTTTCATTTTTCCAACAAAAACACTTTGCTGATAAACATTTTAACCATTTACCCATGAATATGGTTGGAGAAAGATAAGCTAATTCTGTATTGTAAAATCTTTTATTCTATAGTCCAATTTTTCTCCAACATAATGATTTATAGATCTGCTGTTTCATTAGAATAAGCTGCATATTTACTTTAAAAGTTTTCTTAGTCCTGCCTAAATCCCTGGGGATGGTCCAAATACTCTATTTTTAACAAGTTTCTCTGGTGACTCTGATGTACTACTAAGCTTAGGAACAAATGTTGTAAACTGTAACAACATTAAGGGACAGAAGATAACAGTGAATGTTCTTCTTGATAACTGCTGTCAGTGTGAGAGAAGACTAGATAACTAGACAGGAAATGGGGGCAAGGTGGCAGTGAGATTAGTACAATATTAGCCATCACAAGAAAAGAGAACATGTGCTTTTACTATGGCAGCCTATAGTAGGCAATGAGAAAACAGATAGTAAGAAGAATATAAACTGGAGAATTTAAGTGCAATAACCTATAGAACTTAGCCAAATCTGAGAAGATGGGTAGTTCCCCAGACAATTGGGTGAATGGTGACACATTATAGGACAGAAAGGAGGAGAAAGTGTTTTGACTACTAAAAACAGAATAAGGCAAATATCTAGTTTAATCAAGATAGTTTTTTTTTTCCTCTTACAGAATTAGAATGTCAGCTAATTGTTTCTGCTCCACACTCCCTCCCATCATTGTATCCATATACCAGGGATTTAAATCTGGGGCCATGAGCATTCTACGCTAGTGATCTATCACTATGCTATATCCCCAGCTCCACTGTTGCTGAACAATCTACAAAAATTTGCATTAGAGTATGAAGAACATGACTAACTGAAAATTAACTCTTCAAGGCCTAGTGATCCATCTTTGGAACCCTCACAACAATGGAACATGATATAATATATTCTTTTCAAATTCTTGTTCCTTGAATTCTTCTAAATAACGTATACAAATTTCATATAAAAACTAAAAAAATTTCCATCTTTGGCATAAATGGGTTAATGTATACATAGATACATAATGAATAAAACACTTTGGAGTTCCAGAGGATAGCTCCTCTTCAATAACTCTGGATAATTTAAGGAATACACAAAGAATCAAAACTGCAATTATCAAGAAAGGAAAAGCAAGTCTTACCATCCACAGCAAGAGCTCTGTGCAAGAGATCCTTGGCAGCTCGAACAACAGTGCTTACTACAGAGAGAGCTCTGCTACAGTTCTTGTCTTCTTCATTGGCTTTACTCAGAAGTTGGGATTGTAAATCTCCATCAAATTCACTCCTATGACATGAGTAATCAAGAAAGTATTTCATAATGTTAATCAGGGCTTGTCATTTTATTTACAGTACAAAAAAGTTAAAACACTTAATAAGAATATGATGATTTCAGAAAGAATAAAGACTTTGAAAAAAGATAAACAAAAATTGAAACATTCATGCAGTTCTGGCAGAAAAGTGTTATGACAAAGGGGACAAAATGTTGAGAGTTCAAAAAACAGAATGAAGACAAATATTTCTGGATTGAAAGAGAAAGAGAAAGAGAAAAACATTTGGGTAGAAAAGGAAACAGAAACCAGATTATGTGAGACTGGTAGGTCATGGTAATAATGTCACATTAAATACTGGTATGGGAATAGGTTATTAGACTTGACAAGAGCTGAGCATGGCATGCTAGCTGCACTGGGGAAAAATGAGTGCAGGAAGGCAACAAAGAAAAGTGAGACTAATGCAGAGGTTATAATTTTACAGACAGAATAAAATGGGCTGGTGGCTTTGGACTAGACTGCTAATTATGTGAGTGGTAGTAAAGGACAAATTAGTGACATTTTAAAAGTACACTGCCAGGATTAGTTGATAGACAAGATGTGATGTTTGACAGGAAATGTTAGGGTTTGTTTCTGGATGTCCCCTCAAAGCTTCATGCAGTCATGGGGTGGGGAGCTTTTAAAGGTGGCTGAATCTAGAGTTTGAGATTGATTCATGGTCCAGCATTAGGATTAAAAGGGGTGAGTGCTACACCTGCCCCAGGGGAGGTAGCCTGCATTCAAAGTAAGAGCCATAAAGAGGGCTTCTCTTTTGTTACCTTCAGTATCTTCTGCAGTCATGAATGGTTGCTCCTATGCCATTCCACCCTTAGAGCCAACCAATTATGGTCTAAAACTTACAAAAACTCTGAGCTAAATAAACTTTCCTCCTTTACCTTTGGGTGTCCAGTATTTTGTCTCAGCAATGAGACATTAAGAAAGACAAAGTGTTTGGGTGTAACAGTGGGTGGAAGAAGAGTACTGTGAATACTATGGATGTGCCAGCTCTAAGATCTATCAGCCAACTACACAGAATCCTTACAGAGCATGTGTCTAGTGGTTTAAGATTATGTCATCTACAGTATCATTTTTTGCCTACGAGTCCCTGTGCCATAAATACATACAAGTGTGATTCAGGTAAGATGTTTAATGACTTGGCACCTCAGCTTCATCTTCTTTTTAAAAGCTGGGTAAAAGAAGTGCTTACATCATGACTATTCACATAAAAGAGATACACTAGAGAAAAGCCTGGCATGTAGCCTAAGTGCTCAGAGGTATATGTTAACCAGCATTCTCTTAACTGATGTCATTCAAAGGAGAATGTCAAAGAGGAATCTGAATTTTTGCCCTAGAGCTTAGAAGACATGAAGGCTAGAGATACAGACTTGGAAGTCATCAGAATAAACTGGTGTTTAAAGCTAAAAGAATTAAATCTTGCTCATTTTTAAGTAAAGCTTGGTGGTTAAGTATAAAAATGCCTAAAAGATAGCAGACATATTGGCTGGCCATAGTTTTTTCCCATTTAACCCCATCCTATGATTTACCCTTGGATCAATACTACCTAAGAGACTATGTTTGAAGTCTTATTGACTGGTTATAATTCAGTTTCACCTTAAGACTGCCTACCACGTGGCTTTCCTCAATAAACACCCTTGAGAAGCAGAGTGGTGGGTAATTCACTTTCTGAGCCCTCTCATGACCCCGTCACACAGAAGCTTTCTTTCTCTCAATAAATTCTTCCCACTGCTTTTTTAAATAAAAGGATAGCAAATATCATTAATGACTGTCTAGCTTTGCTACCCTTCTTTTGTGCATGTTATAGTTTTTAATCTATGATTGGGATAAAGAATAATATTTTTTTGTGCTTTGTAACAATCTGGCTAAGTTACTAAAAGAAAAATTCAGGCTTATTGAGAAATTTGTGTTTAAAACTTATTTATTTATTTATTATTTTTTATTTTTTTCTGTATTTTAGGGAAGGGTCTACAGGATGTTCAGGTCTCACTACAGATCGGACTCCTAGTGATTCTCCTGTTGACAGCTTCCCAAGTGCTGGAATTATAGGCACATACCACCACACCCAGTCTCAACTGCCCTCTCAGTGCGCCCAGGGGTGAGGGCGGCATGGAAGGCCCGGGATGAAACCCCCAGTCCCTGCACCTGCTTGCAGGCGCTTTAATCCACTGAGTTATTTGGCTGACCCTAAAACTTTTTTTAAATGCAAATGTCATCATTCTTTTATTTCTAACTGTTTGTATCCAGAATAGTTTTCCTTGAAATATATGAGAAAAACATCATTATATTTTCTAGGGCTCTAGGACTAGTGCTAATAGGTAAAAGATTCAGTAGCACTGAAATATTCTGTAGACTGGACTATAGGACTAAGGCAATACCATTACCTGGGTTGAGTAGATCTAATCACTGTCATTAGGCATTTATAAAAGGAAATGAATAAGTTACATGTAAACTTGCAATATACACAAGTAACAGTAAAATGACAAGAAATAGCACATGTAACCCACAAAATTTCAATAACAAAAATTTTTATCTGAATTTGTATCTCAAAATGAGACTTCTTTATGAATTAGCACAAGTATGTATTAGAAGATAGACACAGTGTATAATTTAATTATAATTATTCAGTTACAATATTTTCCCTTGGTAGTACATTATGCATTAAGAGTATTTTCTAACTATAGATGCACATACCGATAGTAGAGTATCTGTGGAATCTGTCCTCTGGTTTGGTTTGTACCATTACTACTCAGGCTGCATGTGCTGAATGTAAAGGTCACACCGTCAGGGCACTGAACTGTGGTCATCCCTCCATCTCCATTGGCTGTACGGCTTCCATAGTTCCTCAAGCGCACAGCATATTTAACATTTTCCTTCATGAAAAACATGTAAAACATATTTATATTTATTCCTAATGCATACAGGATATACAGAAACAACTCAAGCAGTAAATAAGACTTACCATGTTTATGCATATTATTACTGCATTTTACTGAATTTTTGATGAATCAAACATGACAGCTAACACTTACTGAATGCCTTTTTGTATAAAAGAAACTAGACTGGGGCCAGGGAGATGGCTCAGTAGGATAAGTGCTTGACTGGCAAACACAAGGATCTGAGTTCAATCCCCGGTTCCACAAAAAAAAAAAAAAAAAAAAAAAAGAAACTAGACTAAATATTTCATATGATTTAAATAAATCAATCTTTAAAATGTCCTCATTAGGTACGTTTTCTACAGGTGAGCAATATGAGGTGCAGAAGTGAAACATCTTGTCCTGAAGTCACACAGCCGGCAAAAGGCAGACCTAGGTTTTGAGAACGAGTAGTGCTACTAGTTCCTGCCCTATGCACACTGATAGAACATTTCCAATCCTTGAGATATTCTTGCTTCAGCCTCAAGTGTGGGGATTATAGGTGGATGCTGTCATACCCAGTTGAATCCATTGTATTTTTATTTTGGGAGATATTAATTCAGAGACAAAGACAAGGCAGACAGACATGGGGAAAATATGAGAAAATAATTTTCCAGAATATGATGCACAGTATGTTTAAAATGCTAGTTATATATACTCATATTTTATGACCCATGATATAAACTTTATAAAAGCTTTTAGATTTTCAGTATGTCAATTTTTTGATAAAGTCTCTGATAAGTCTACTTTATCCAAAATTCTGTTCTCTAATGAAATTTATTTCAGATAAATTTAGATATACTTAATGCTATCTTCGCAATAATCACTTTAAAGTAAAATTTCTCTATTTTGCCAAATACATTTAGAAAATCAAATTATATAAAGAAGTAACTTTAATAACATATTATTTGTTAGAATAACCTTTTTAAAGGAGTCTTAGTACAAGGGAATGATGGGGAGTAATATGCATACAAGAAATAGAAGGCTGCCTTCCATTATTTAATATAATCTCTATAACACTATACTAGATATTATTCTTCTCAATCTATAAATCAGTTTCAAAGTGATAAAATCATGACTTGCTCATCTCCTAAGACTAAGATATGGTAGATCAGGTACGTTAAAGAGGCTTGTTTGACTCTAAAACCTAATGATTTTTTCTTCTGTACCAGACTTTAAAAGACACTGTCTAAAATAGAACACAATATAGTACAAGATCTGTAAATATTTGAAGCACTATATAAGGATGATTTAGAAAAAGCTGTATCTAACAATGAAAATTAATGGAATAATTTTAACAACATTTTATCTCTTAACAAAAACATGGTAGAAATTACCTTTAAAGGAACAACTTTGTCAAGTCTGATTTCCGCTATGTCACTGGGTGAATCATCTGTGGTATAAGTTCCTTTGACTAATTCTAGAGATGTCCATCTGTGGGAATGAGTTGAATCTCCTACATGTTCACTCTAGTGAGGACACCCAAATAAAATTCATGAGACTCTTAACTGTATTATATGGATAATTTCAATTTACAGTTATTATTTTTAAATTGTTTATTTCCTTACACATAAAATTAACACTTAGTGTTTCCCCACAAATACTAACAATACTCTTGGACCTCTAAAATCATTCTGTTCTGATTCCTTGAGATTATAACATTTAAATGGACTATTCTCATTTGTTGTCTTAAACTACTCTTTCTTCAAAAGAACAGTGCTTATAGTGATAGAACTTAATGAAGTACAGGATCCAAACCAGCTGTATGAAACAATCAAGTGATAGAGTGGTATTTATTAGAAAATGATTTATATGCTTTCTATTCACTATAAATAATTGAAAACTGGCATTTTGAATAACTTAGAGAATATTAAAAAAGTATAGCTAAATCAATCAAACACTATCTTTCCGAAGATTTCTCTACAATATGACAAGACTGTTGAACTATTGAAGACACTTATAATATTCATTTGAATATTGGTTTTGTTTCCTGAAAAATAACTGTAAAAATGTACTCAAAAATTGCAATCAGAGGCTGAGCTATACATTTTTTAGTCTCCAATTCCACTTAAAATCTTTTGCTTTGTGAAAGCACAGAAAATATGAGGCAGGAGTGATCCAAGATGACATAAACAATCAGGTAAAATCACGCTTTTCATTTCCTGATTGTCTATATACAAGTGATCTGCTAAAGCATCAGATTTGGACCAGTGACACTAGGACAATGTCATAGTTCTAAAAGCCCAAACAGGAGGATGAAGGATATAGGTGTGACACTTACATCATCAACCAACACCTCTAATTCATATTCATGAATCCCACCTCCTCCATAGACAGAGAAACCAACCACTACTATTCCAGGTTTGTCTACTGAAAAACAGATTGCATCAGGGGACCCATTCCCAGTGTTCCAACTTCTTCCTTGACTTGTCTTTGTAAATCTGTTAGCACTAGCTTTTACAGAATGAAGAGAATTAAGTCCATCAACCTGTAAACAAAATAAGCAATTATATCAATGGTTTGTGTCTGAATGCTATGTAATAATACACCTGTAACAAAGTAGCCAAAGGTTTCCAATACATCTCAAAAAATAATTTGTATCTGATAAGCAGTTTAAATCTTTTGTAAGGTACTGAGATTAAACCATAATAAAATTTTTTCATTCTAAAATTACAAATCCAGGTTACTTGACTGTATTTTAGTTTACATTTCTTACTTTTATGTCAGACTACAAATTTGTACCACAGTCATAACTACTTTCAAACGTCAGCAAAAAATTTAATCAAAAAAAAATTTAATCAACGTTTTATAGACTAGTGGTTTTCAAACCACACTCACTACACAGAGCTCTAGGAATACTAAAGAGATCTATCTGAAGGACAGGTGGGTTCAAGGTTACCTTCTTCAACTAGACCATCTTTCTCTTGATGAGTTTCCAAGTGTTTATTTGAAGAAAATGGTCTGATTCCTAAGTTTGAGTATCACTAATGTATGCAGTGATACTTTTATAACTTAGCAATCAGTATACAGGCACAGAAATATAAAAAAATATACAATCTCACTAACTATGACTTTTATTAAAGAGGATCAGATAACTTATTTTGGGTTAAAATAAGCTCTTTTTTCTTTAGCAACTATTCCAAATTTAAGTTAGCCTCATAAATTTGGGAGATGTGAGAGGAAACACTAAAAATACAGGACTGTTACACTTTACTGAAATTAAGAAAATGGAAATTTAAGCCAAGAACTTTTGGAACTCCTAAGATCATTAATTTGGCACCCTGTAATTTGGGGTGCTTGTTTCTGTTAGAAAGGCAAGTGTATGTAAATTAATTTGTTAGTAACATTGGACAGGGACTTAAGCATTATAGGTTCTTGCATCCTCTATGGTCTACTATAAAAGAGATATATATTACAGGCTAAATGAATATTAAAAAAATGATTAAGCATTTCCCAACAGGGGCTCTAGTGGCCTCTTGGGCCAATGCTTGCCAAGAAACCTGGGAAATGCTTCCAAAGGGAGATTACAGAAGTTGCTCCCATCCATGTCATCATTCAGAAATTCTGAAAACTAAACTGTCACAAAAAGTAAGGAATCAGTATAGGTTGGTAGATTAAATAGGTTCCTAAATAAATCTATAAGCAAGAAAAGGGCAAGGATGAGAAATTAGAAAGTAAAACAGACAAAAAGTTCCTTGGCAAGAAATTTAACAGCTGGGACCACTGAATGTATATTGGTTTTTAAACGTTCATTTGGATGGTATATTTCACATTAAGATGTGGTTTTCAAACCAACCTATGGTCTATATTTTGGGGAAAAATATAAATCAAATTCAGTCAAAACATGCAGATATGTTTCCAAAATAAGGCACTGAAATAGGGAAAAACGTTACTTTATAAAATGCATCTTGAAATGTCATAACTGATTTTCTTAAATGGAATAATCTTTGATGCTTTTAAAATTTTGTGAGAGTAATTACACAAGATGAACTTATATACATATAAAATAATTAGAATGATAATTTTATATTTTACTATAATTTTAAAAATCATGACATGAGACAAAAATTATTTCCATTTTCTATATTATCTGTCTTGGATCAACTTAGCAAGTAGAGTAAAAGTTTGAACCTTTTTGCATTTTCCATAGTATATGTTCATTATTAATAGACTGATTCTAGAACATTATTCATCATTCATAAACAGAACTATTTTCAATTTTCTTTTCTTTCTTTTTCTTTTTTTTTTGTATTTTAGGGAAGGGTCTATAAGGGTGTTCAGGGTCTCACTACTAGATCAGACTCGTAGTCATCTGCCTGTTTACAGCCTCCCAAGAGCTGGGATTGCAGGTGTGCACCACCATGCTCAGTCTCAATTGCAGTCTCAGCACGCCCTGGGAGCGGGGCCGGCAAGGCAGGCCTGGAGATTGAACCCCTGGCCCCTGTGCCTGCTTGCATGTGCTTTAATCCTTAGAGCTATTTGGCCAGCCCTGAATTTTCAATTTTATTGGGGTACAGAAGTGGATATATATAATGAGACCAATGAGAATTTAATGGGAAAATAGATACTTTATGTTATTGTGATATTCTGAGTCCACCAAGAAGGGTAAGTGGGTTTACATAAGAGCAGACAAAATATATAAGAAAAGGCAAAAAAAAAAGTTGAATATGAAGGGTTAAAGAAAAAACGCAGTAGTATTGCCAACCTGTTTGGAAATTAATTTCCATAATGTCAAAACACATGAAAAAGAGAAACTACATTGTAATTTTAAATACCAGTTCATTATCCATCTTCACAATGTGGCTTGTTACCTCAGATCCCAGGGCTGATGCAGTCAGTTCACTGACAATACTTGCCAGCAACCCACAGGTGTTAGAGACCAAGTGGGAGGAGAAGAGTTCATTTTCTCTTCGCAGGCTGTTCCTGACTGGTAGCACAACAATAACCAGCATTTTCTCCAGCACTTCACGGAAGCTGGTCATTCCTGAGATATTCTCTTCACTCTGTCCGTGAGAAGAAAGAGTGCCGTGTATTGCTTTCTTTTCCTTTCTGTGATTACCCAGAAACAAAAGCTTGTCTTTTTTACATGATTCCCTTAAATCTAGACCTGAATTAACGGCTATTTCTACAAACCTATCCAGCTCTATGTGGAGCTACAGTATGTGCTTTTTATTTAGAAGTTCATTTTTTTGAATTGTCTTTTTGTATCATAAAAGTACCACTTTAGGCAGTGTTTGTTTTTATAAGCTTTGAGTCTTTTTCATATACTATTTAACTTCTTAGCCACAATCTTCTTTAACAGACAGAAAACTAGTCTTCCCTTTTAAAACTTTTTATAGACATATCTATGTCTATATTTCAATATATATGACATAATTATTTTTTAAATATGTGAAGTCAAAGCTATTCTACATAGTCTGCAAATCAACTTTCTAAGAAAATCCTTTTGTACATCATGAAGTCCTAAGCTGCTGTATAACTGCTCTTATATTAAATTTTCAAAAGAAGACAAAATTCTGACCTTTGCAAGCGAAAAAATGACCAAGATACTCAGAATCCTTTTTTTTTTTTTTTTTGTATTTTTTAAGGGAAGGGTCTATAGGGTGTTCAGCATTTCACTACTAGATCTGACTCATAGTGATCCACCTGTTTATAGCCTCCCAAGAGCTGGGATTACAGGCATGTGCCACCACACCCAGTCTCAACTGCCTTCTCACCTCGCCCCAGGGGCGGGGCCAGCAAGGCAGGTCTGGGGATCAAACACCAGACCCTGAGCCTGCTTGCAGGCACTTTAATCTGCTGACCTGTTTGGCTAGCCCTCAGTATTCATTTAAAGATTTAAAAAAACTGCATTTTCTACAAAACTGTATTTTCTGTTAGCCCACTGTGGACAGAGTATTATCAGGAGGCCATATGAATTAATGAAACTTTCAGTTCTGAAATGAGATCCATTTGCATTTAATTTTATCTTTTTCATAGTCTTCAACTTTTTCATCTGAGAAATTAGGAAAATAACTGGCTCTCATTTAACTTTTAACACAATTGCATGTGCCCTGAACTAGCAAGTTTCTCTGTAGTACTTACATTTCTTATTCCTTTATAATGACCCTGAAAGTTATATCACTCACTTCTCAATACAAATCAAATACATAAATAATTCACTTTCTATCAATTTGGAAATTATGTAACTTTTTAGTTAAAATCACTATGAGTCATTCACAACTTCTTTCCTATTGTGCAATCTTACACTGAGACAAAAAGCCACTTAGGAGAATTTTCATATTTATTTCTATTAACATTTGACTAGGATCACTATAACATTTTCATTAATTTTTAATCAAATTATGTTTTCTGGATGTAAAACAACCAGTTCTCGGTTTTGCTAAATCTCTATGTCATTTATACCTTCTATCTTCTCATGCTCCCGAAACTTTATGTTCTGGAACATCTCAGATAGACAGCTTTTGATAAACTCAATCCCTAACTACACTCCATAATAAAAAATCTCTTAAACTGAGCAGGGTGGCACATACCTGTAATCCCAATACTCAGGAGGCTGAGGCAAGAGGAACAGGATTTTTGTAAGTTCAAGATCAGCCTGGGCTACAAAGCAAGCTCAAGGCCAGCTTGAACTACAGTGCAAAACCGTCTCAAAAAGATCAAAAAATTATATATAATATCCTGGGGTGTGTCTATGTGAGGTATACTTATTTATGCTTATTGAGTTTCTAATTAGTGCTTGACAAGATTAATATAAAAAGCTTCATAATAATATAGCATAAGAGTTTGTCAATATGATTTATTAGGGCCGGGGAGATAGCTAGGTAGAATAAGCAACTGCCTGGCAAGCGCAGGGTCCTGAGTTCAATCCCTGGTACCACAAAAAAAAAAAAAAAAAAAAAAAATTAGAGCAACAAAAATAAATGAATGAACACTATTTATTTGTCACTAAAACTTAAAGAAAGTAATCTCATTCACTAATATCTACACATAAAAGCTGACACTAGTTTTCTGAAAAGGTTTGGCAATTTGCAATGAATAACCTATTTTCTTTTAAGAAATTTTCTACACCTAAAGATTTATACTGGGAAAATAATCACGAATGAACATGAAAGTTAAAGCAATGATGTTTTCAGCACTGTTTAAAATGCTATATGTATTATTGTATGTTACCCTGTTTTTGTGTTTGTTTTGTTTTTCTTGGCTTTGTTTTTACTCTTCAAAATAAAAAAAAATCATAAATAAAAAATAAAAATCGTTGTGTCATTAAAAATAAAATGCTATAATATCAGATTATACACATAACTGATTAATTATATACTTTGAAATGGAATAATTCCATAGTGTTTATTAAAAAGATAATGGGGGAATATATTAAACACAACTTATCTTAACAGACTAACTTTAACATAGGCTCAACTATATAATTACTATTAATCATTACATGTTAATTCTATAAATTAAAAACAATTTACTATATATTTTTAAAAATTATCAAATAAAAGTCAAGTCCAAAAGAAAATGTCTGATTACTCAGATCTCTAATACTCATAAACTATTTCTATTTTTAGTACTCTTAATAAAGAGCCTTTTGCATACGTATTTAATAGAAACTATTACATACATAAATGCACTTTGATATCCAATTTTTATTATAAAATTTAAAATATTTGTTTTGATATTAAATATTAATATAATTCTTTGTTATAGCTAAACCATATTCTATCAAGTTATATTGAATTCAGCTATTTTGCTCAATGATAAACACTTATGGAACTAATAAAATGTTTCCAATTTTCCTTTTATTAAAAATACATGTAGTTTTAGTTTTTCACATATTCTTTGTTTCCTCTGAAAATGTTGACAGTACATAACAAATAAAGATGTACTTTCTAAAATAAAACTGGTTTTAGATCCAATTCAAAGGCTATGTTTTCACTCCTGTCTCTTCTACTATTTAATTAACATTTCCATAAATAGTTGGTATATAATAAGTATTTGCTGAATTCAAAGAAAACTATTAGACTAATTATATAATGACATGAACAATCTACAAAGTTACTATATTTCTTCACTGTCTCATAGCATAGGAATATGAGAGAAAAATTAACTTTTCCTAATTTTCTAGAAATAGATCAATACCTCATTATTACTTTTATTCTATTATCTTTATTTCTGTATTATTGAAGTTTTTAAATGATAAAGCAACAGAAAATTATTACTGTATAGTGATATGATAACTTTCCTTTTTCACTTTTAAAGGTTCATACTCATCAAGTAGGTAGTAAGTATATATGGTTTCATATACATCTTTTTTTTCTATCATGCTTTCTAATATACTGGAAGCAGACATTAAGCAATGTTTCCTACAATGATTACTCTTATTTTAACATACCAAAATTTTGTATAAGATGTCTTAAAAGTTCTTTATTTTTTTACCACTCTATCTTTGAAATTCAAAATATTATATTCCTTATATAAGAGATTATTTATGGTATCTGCAGCTTAATTTAAAAAGATGAAGCAGACAAAAAAATATACAAGTCTTGCCTACCATGCATAAGGCCCTAGGTTCAATCCCCAGCACAGCAAATAGGAACACAACAAAAAATCAAGTAGAAATGTTAACTGGATAACCTGGATTTATTTAGTTGGCCAATGACTATTCAAATAAAATGGAAAAGAGGATCCTCATCTTATAAACAAAGAAGGTGATTAAAAAATAACCACCCCTTCTTCTGAAAAAGATAATTACTTATTGAATAACCATCTGTATCAAGTATCAAGCTAAAAATACCTGTCTTTATGGTATAATTGATTCATTATGAAAGAGATTTCAAAAAAGATCTACCTGGCTGAGTTTTTCCATGTGTGTGACCAAAAGGGGAAAACGATGAACCAGTGTCGAGTCATTTTCTGTGCTCACTTGTTTAACAATTGATCTCAGCAGTACTTCTCCATCATAAGCAATAGGGAAAATAGAAGTCAGCTTAACAGAAGTATGACACAGAGCTGACATAACAGCTGCAAGGAGTCGGCTACTTGATGTCTTGAAATTTGCTTCTTGGATGTCCTTTAAGAAAAAGATAGTCCCCAAAAAATAATACATCAATATAATCCAAGTTTCTGACTATAAAGAGCAAGTAAATGTTCGAATCATACTCAAATTTTCTATCAGTCACTGAAATTGCTTTGTTACAGGATATCACATCAATTGTATTTTAATTACCTTAAAATACAATTAAGCTGCTAAGGAATGAAAATAGAAAAGTGATATATTACATATATATGTGTGTATATATATATATATATATACAGAGAGATATATAAACTGTATATATGCATTTGTGTAATATCTGTATCTCTATCCATCTATCTATCTATATACATATCTCTACTCACATAGTTTTCTTAGGCATTGTTTTCAAATGTTCACTATTATACTATATTTAAGGCATTTCCAATAAGTACTAAAAGTTTTTCTTAAATTATAATAGGATACAAAATTTTAATTCTGTGCTACTATTACACCATTTCAGTAAGGTTTGAAAATTATGTACTACATTCCACAGCTAACCTCTAAAGAAAATATTTTTCCTACCAAGAAAATATTAAATATTAAAAATGTATCAGGACAGAACATCTTAATTTACCAAATCATGTGTGCATTATTGAGTTCATCAAGAATTTGTGGTATAAAGTCAAGCATAAAAGCAGAGTCACATTCGAGTTCATACACAGACCCAATGCTTGCTAAATGCACCCTGTTCAACAATAAAATAACTGTTTCAACTATAGCAATGAGAGTGAAAGAGCAATTAATTTATGCTTTAGTACCAACAACAGTTTGCCCCAGAAAATAGAATGGTACGAAACAGTACCCTGCATATGCAGCCATGCTGTTTGAGAAGCATGGTGATGACAGTGGACTGGGTAAGGTGGGGTGTGGTGTTGAAGTGAGGCTAGGAGTTCCATACCATGTTGAATAAAAGTGGTCAAAGCACTTGGGCCTTGTTTCCAAACTTAGTAAAAAATTTATTATTTTATTATTAAGGAGGATATCACCTGTAAAGTTTTGGTAGATATTCTTGATCAGATTGAGTAAACTGCTTTATTCTAGTTTCTAAAGATATTTCTGTCATTGAATAATTACTAATTTTGCCAAATACTTTTTTATAACTATTGAGAGGATCATACAATTTGCTCTCTTTACTCAGGTAATACGATGAATCACATTGATTTCTGGTTGTTAAAATAACTTTGTATTTCTAAGATAAATTCCACAGCATTATAAAGCATCTGTATTATAGGTTTTGATTTAATAATATTTTAATAACTTCTATATGCCTAAGTGATAATCATCTGCAAATTTTCATTTAATATATTTTCTAGGGGGCTGTGGAGATAGCTCAGCGGTTCAAGCACCTGCCTAGGCAAGCACAAGGACCTTGGTTCGATCCTCAGTACCATATGCTGTGCCAGCCCCACCCTGGGCACCAAGATGATGCAGCACTGGGGAGGATGAAATAAGTGGATCACCATGAGTCTGTGCTGTGTAGTGAGGCCCTGTACCAAATACAGGAGATCTATCTATATCTATATTTATATCTGTATCTATATCTATATCTATCTATAACTATATCTATATCTCAGAATAAGGCTAACCTTACAGAATGAGTCAGTATTATCTCTTATATTTTCTAAAATAATTTGAAAAATGACTATTTCTAGCTGTTCTGTTAATTAGTAAACATGGAGCAGTGCATTCCCCAATTTTCACTGCAAATTTATTTAATTCTCTGTGTAGTTCTTTTTTTAAAAAGGGAAAAATACAAATGTAGACTTCACTAAATACTTCTCAGTCCCCCAACGAAAAGCTTCTATTAAAAAGTTTCTACACAACTGGAAGTTAGAGACTGGAATGGCACTCTGATTATAAAGATGTGAGAAATACCTGACCAGGTAAAATATATAAAACCTCTATGCAGCCAGTGCTCTATGGAGGAAGACTATTCTATGTAGCTCTGTTCGTGTAACCTGTAACTTGTGTTTTCTCCATAGGAGTTTTCAAAGTATGATTTTGTGCAGATACATCTATAAACATCATGTTTTCTTCATCGATCAATGAATTAAAAAACATTAGTATTGTTGTTCACTTAGTCTTCTCTCCTTATTTTGTAGATGTGAAGGTGTCAAGAACTGCTTTTTTTGGTGCTATCCTTGTTATAAAAAACTATTATTCTTCTATCACACACTCACCTATAAATTTAAAGAGCAAATGAGAAAATACACAATCATATTTGCCAATTTTATAATTAAACATAATGAAGCAAATAACCACATAAATTTTTAAACTTCGTGGCTCATATATATCAAATTCACCTTTGCCAAATTTACCTTTTAAAAGCTAAAGAGATATGGGCAGCCACAACTTACTGGCTTGAATAGCATATAAACAATGCATAGACTTTCAACTACATTTCTTATGTTTAAATTACCTGATCCAAACAATTGAGCAGATCACAAAGGCAGGCCCACTGCAATGCAGGAGTTGGGTAGAAAGAATGGAAACATGCGGTAAAAGTATTATGACACTCCTGCAGGACAGCTTCCAGGAGACTCAGGGGTTGGCTAAGATATCCTTGAGGGTCATTATCCAGCTTCACCATGCAGTGATCAACTCCTTCTGATAAAATTTTTCTTAACAAAGTTCTGGTTTTTCCAATACATTCTGCTAATTTGCTAGTTTCTTCTACAACTACTTTTCCTGTAGCTTTTTTTAAGAGAAAAAAGTAAAATGCCTGTTAGTAAAATATTCAATATGCATGGAAAAATACCTGTTACTTACTGTACACCTAAATATCATAAATTCTTATAAACTACAAATGTAACAATTTAGCAAGTGGTCCAAAATTTCTTTGTAAAATTTAGAAAGAATAAAAAAGAAAAAAACTGGTTTCGGTACTTATATTCTAATCAGTTGCTGAAAATACTACTATTTGACCTAACTTATTTAAAATAATTTTATTGGAATATTACATTTTAGCCCATCATGACTTTTTCTTATCAGAATGACATGAAATCTATTTTATTTTTTATAAGCAAATACAGAAACATGACAACAAGCTTTCTTCCCTCGTTTTAGGAGCATCTGAAAGGCAGGTAGAGATCTTTAAATCCTGATAACCTTTACATAAACCTCAAGAGTCTTAAATATTTTCTACCTCAAGTTATTTGAAAAATACATCATACCTGACACTGGGTAAATTTCACAGGTATAGACACGCAATAACCTCAAGCAACAGGTACCCACAAAGCGCAGTCTCTCTAAATCTAGCAGCGTAGCTGTGAACTGGAATCCTTTTAATCCTCTAAGTTCTTCAACTCCTAAAACTAAGGTGGTCCAGCTCCAGTGCAGAATACTCAGCAATGACTCAAAACATTCCTAATTCAGAATGTGAAAAAACAGAAAACAATTAGTTCAAATGAACTCATGGTATGAATCAAACGAGATGGCAATACGTGTTATTTCAAACTTTTACCTTTTACTCTTTAGTGAATTTTGGTAGCCCAAATAACAGATATTCTTATAGTTCATTTATTGAATTACTATCAAGAATATCTCTGAAGATAGGTAGACAGGCATTTATAAATACAATATTCTATAGTATTAACCTTAAAAATGTATTTTTAAAATTTTCCTGTTACTAACCTATATAGTGCATCATGTAAACAAGGAAAAAAATTTTAAAAAGCTTACAAATATGGTACAAGTTTATTTGAAGGCAATATAAAGCACTGTGTGTCACTGTAGTAAAAATTATATAAATATAATCAGTATATTAGTATTTGGGCAATATTTTTTGGCAGAACCAGGAATTGAACTCAGGCCCTTGCGCTTGCCAGGGAAGTACTTATTCCACTGATCCTTCTCCCCGGCCCTATTTAGGCAATATTAAATACCTTATTTTATGTCTACATATTAAAATTTTATATAAATTATATATAGATATAAAATTGCTGATAATATTACTGAAGATAAAAATTGACTGAAAGTATTCATAGATCCTTACTTAGGATCTTTTAGAATTCTAGACTATGGATTTAGAGTGGACTTGAACTTGTCTTGCAGTTACGAAGGGTCTACAGATTTTGTCATGGTTAAACCATAACAGATGCTCCATAAATGTCAAAGCAAAGCATTTTGCTTCCCTATCCCTACCAAGTCAAGAACATCTTGCATCAGTAATACCTAAACTGAGAATATATAGTTTAACCTTTTTTCTTATTCAAAGATTAGAAATGCTTACACATAAACAACAAGTATCCAGTACAGAAAAAAATCATGAAAAATGATGCAACGGAGATCCTTCTTATAATTAAAAGCTACCAAACTCATACTAAAAGGATGCAAAGATAAAAAGGAGCCACATTTTTTAAAGCCACATTCTTATAGTCTCTTTTGCAAGGAATACTGTATAAACTGGAATAGATTTTTTTGCAAGGTCAACTAGACAAAGATACATCAAAATTTAGGTCTTTTTTTTTTTTTTTTTTGCGGAACCAGGGATAGAACTCAGGCCCTTGCGCTTGCCCGGGAAGCACTTATTCCACTGAGCCATCTCCCCAGCGATATATCAAAATTTAAATGTGCACATTTTCAGTACATAGTATCAGCATGGAAAAATATCTGTTACATAAGTACATCAGTAATTACAGATGCATGCATAGATGCTGATAAAGACAATGTAACAAAAAAAATGAGCAACAAACTAGTTCTATTATAGCAGTGCTGAATAAATGAGCCAAATATATTAACAGGAAAACTGTTAGTACTATGTTCTATAAAATGTCCAAAAAGATACAGGAAAACTGTAAGTATCAGAAAAAACAATAATACTGTATAGCATCTTGCATATATATGACTAATGTAAGTGTGTGTGTATAAAAATGGGGTTGTATGTCGCTTAGTGACAGTGTACATGCCTAACGTAAGCCTAATCCTCTAGCAATGCAACAATAGTAAGAACAACAATGAAAACACACAAGGTCTGGAAGGATATCATGGTCCATATGTAAACAAAAGTATAAGAAGAAAAGGAAGAAAGAATCTTAATACTGTATACTTTTAGTAATTCTCTATAACAACTGTCCTATGAGGCACCTGTATTAATCCTATGGTTTTAATTAAAAAAAAAAGGGATATTTCCTAAGCATATAAACAAACTGAAACAATTGCTATTTTAATAAATCATTCAAGGACTGGCCAAATAGCTCAGCAGATTAAAGCACTTGCAAGCAGGTGGAGGGGATGCCCAGGCCTGCTGTGCCAGCCCTGCCCCTGGGGCACACTGAGATGGCAGTTGAGATTGGGCATAGTGATGCTCGCCTATAATCCCAGCTCTTGAGAGACTGTGAACAGGCAGATCACTACAAGTTCAATCTAGTAGTGAGACCTTAATGCCCTGTAGACCCTTCCCTAAAATAAAATAAAATAAGTCATTCACATAGTGTATTACAGTTAAAACAGCATTTTATATGCTTCCTCTTATTAAAAATTCATAATATAGTAGTATAATTTGTTTAGAACATTGGCAGAAGAACCCTAAATTACTATAGGACAGAACAAGAAATTTACTCAGACATGCTATGGCCTTTTAATTACGTCATGCTTACTTTTCACTGTAAACTATGAACTCCAATAGCATAGTGCATCTTTACATACAGATTAGGATGGCTAAGTATAGGGGTGCCTTGGTTCAGAAACTGAATTTGTTCTACCATTTTGGAAAAGATGGCCATGTCTGTGTTTCCGTGGGAAGGATGGCCATGGTTGTGTTTGCTATCCAAAGCAGAGTTTGCTAAAAGATACAAAATTTTTCCAAATGCCTCTGTTTGTAAACCAAAGGATTTGCGAACTGAGGCACCACTTGTAGTTCAGCACAGGTACTGGTTCAGCAAGCAACTCTTCTATGTAGTTGCTCAAGTACCAACAGTTCTGGGCCAGCACCATGCTTAACTTTTCCTAATTTTTAAATATTCTTTTGTGTATGTATTAGAAAAGCCACCAGTTATTTCATAAATAGCAAGGGCTGGGGAGATAGCTTGGTGGTCTGACTGCCTGCCTGACAAGTGCAAGGACCCAGGTTTGATCTCTGGTAACCTCATGTCTTGTGGGCTACCACCAAAACTGGGTGTGGTGGCACATGCCTGCAATCCTAGTGCTGGGGAGGCTGAGGCAGGAAAATCACTTCAAGTCCAAGCTGCATAGTGAGATCCTATACCAAATAAATAAATAAAAGAATTTTTTTAATTAAAAAATAAATAGCAAGTCCATGCTGGCTGGGCACCATAGGCAACATCTTTATTTTTCTATTATTTAAAGCAGGTACTAACTTTGGCTTAGAACATAAATGCTCTTACAAAAGCAAATCTTAGTTCATAAAAAGCTATGCTATAATAAATCTTAGATGAGAGTGTCTAAATTCGAAGCATCACAATTAAACAGAATGCTGAATTAAAAAGCTAAAAAAATTTTAAAATGGCTCACCACTGAGACAGTTCTTGCAAAAGATTTCTTTAAAATGTGTACAGGCTCACTGGTTTGCTGTTTGCCTTTTGAAGCACTGCTATCACTGGTTGGTAGTCTGAAGACAGTAGATACATATAAAATAATGTTTAAAAGTCCAATGACATTTTAAGAAATACACATTTTGACCAAAATGAATTATTTAAATTATGCATTTGAATTTTTTTTTTACTAGATAAAATGCTAATATAGGGCTTTTTGGGAAACATTTCAACACTAAACAGTTTTTCTTAGCATTATCTTATCATGCTGGCAAGGCAGTATAGTAGAGGCTTTTTCCTCTTGCTAGAGAATATTTGTATTTATCTTCTATAGTAATACCTCCATTTAATTTTACTATCAAAATTATTTTACCAATAGCACTTAGAGATACTCTAGTACAATTTATTATGTTCATAAAGTTATATTTTACAAAGTATTAATCATAAGAATTTGCATAAAAAACAAAAAAATTCTTCTTGGGAAAAATGAGATTTGTAACATTCAATTCTTCAACTGATTACTAGGAAGGAAGATACACAAGGAAGTAAATCCGAATACATGTATATCCATGTTTATAGAGAGCAGCACAATCTATAATTGCTAAGTCTTGGAAATAACCCATACGCCATCGACAAATGACAAGTCAGAGAGAATGTGGTATTTAAATACAATGGAGTACTAATTTACTGTAAAGAAAGATGGACTTGACAATTTTTAGATTAATGCATGTATTTCACAACCATAATCTTAAGTGAAATAAGTCAGACACCCAAGTTAAAACATTGCATTGTTTCTCTTGTGTGAGACACCCAAAGTGTAAATAAGGAATAAAATGGAGGACAGTACTGGGAAGTAGGAAGAAATTGTTCAAATAGGAAAGTGAATAAGGGAGGGGGCAAGGGTGAGAGAAGGAAAGGAATGAAGATTTAAAAAAAGAATGGAGAGTCCAAGTGTGGTGGTGCACGCCTGTAATTCCAGTACTGGGAGGCTGAAAACAGGAGGATCACTATGAGTCTAAGCTGTGTAGAGAGACCCTGTACCAAATACATTCAATCAATCAATCAATCAATCAATCAATAAAAAAGAATGGATGGGTGAGCTGGCAAGATAGCTCAGCAGACTAAGCACCTGCTTAGGCAAGAACAGATGCCAAAGGGACAACAGGAACAGGGGTTCAATACCCGGTACCACAGGCCATGCTGGCCCAAAGCATGGTGGCACATTCCAGTGCTAGGGGGGCTGAAAACAGGAGAATCATTATGAGTCTGAGCTGCATAGTGACACCCTGTACCAAATACATGGAAAAGAAAAAAAAAAAAAGAATGGAAGAGAACAAATGTAAACAAAGCTTTCATAAATGGAGAAGAGGGCTGAAGGAAGGGAGGGAAACAGGAAAAGAATTTAGACATATTATGTGCAGCTACATATTCTCTATGTTAAATGTGATTATTATACATGTACCAATAAAAAATAAATATAAAAAAGAAAAGAGAATCTCATATTCTAAAGGTACTTATTTTGGTTTTGTTAATACTTTAAGGGTGGCAACACACTTTTAAAGTTCATAGACATTTGAATTTATCTAACAGTGCAGTAATGTTGAGATGGAAACATAATAGTATAAATGTTCATATTATGAATGACTGAATTAATTCTTAATGTTAAAATATTATAAAGCAATTGCTATTTAATATTTCAATTGAAGGTATACATTTATCAATAGTAAGGGACTTTCCAACTCATTCTACCACAAGATAAAAAAACATAAGTGTACAGTAAACTAAAGTCTACATCTAAAGTATTCCCCATTCCAACTTAAATTATTTAAGACACATTTTAAGTTACAGAATCCTGAAATTGATAAGAAAACCATAGACTAAAAGATAAGTTACAAAAATATTAGCATAATACAGACAATCTGATTCATTAGGCAAAGTTTAAATGTAATGTAGAAAATGTTTAAACATACACAAAATGTTAACTAAATTAAATGTCTTTGTTATACTGGCTACATTTCAACTAATATAATTTATTAAATATTTCAATAAATTCTTATTATACCATATATTTTATAATGATTATTATAGCAAAAGAAAAAACCATATTAAGTAACTACAATTGTGCTAAATACCTGTATAATAATTGAGGTATCTGACCAGCATTAACATCCGTACCATTATTTGATTTCTTTGAACTCTTAAACTGGAAAACAACCCTAAGAGAAAAACAAAAATAATAGCAAAAGTGCGATGGTCTAAGATTCATTAAAGAAACAAAGGGATCAAAAATCATGTTTTCAAACCTCATATTAATGAAAACATTTTTATGTTTAAACAAAAAATAAATAAAAAGGTACTGCCCTGATCTTAACTCGGTTACCCAGTAAATAAAGCACCTGGCAAGATCAGCTGCAACTCCTAGGTGAGTAACTATCCTGCCCCCAACCAGACAACCAGCACAGTTTTCACCACAGTAGTAAATTTTTAACAAGGTACCCACTCAGCAGCAATATAAAATCAGCCTGACTCGATATTTATAGATTTGAGCCTCCAACTAGCATGATACTGCAAGTCTGACTGAACCATACAGCGCAGGGTTCAAGCAGTCTCCTCAGTTCTAGCATATAACCTTACAGCACGTTGAAAGGGATATATAGAATAACAGATTTAATTTTCCTTCAGCAATCTATTTCAATATTCAACAACATGGAACTCACCTCAAAAATCAGTTTGTTTTGTTCTGTTTTATCATCTCTATTTTGACTTGAACCAAAACCAAATATGCTATTATATACTGTGCCTACTCTTAATAGTTAAACAACTGAATATCTCTGTCAAATGATAGTTCTGCAAAGCACATGAATCAGCATTACAGTACAAAGAATGCTGACCTAGAATCGCCAGAATCCAGGACCAGATTTGGCTCAGTCATGGTAATCACAGGAATCTGAGCAACTCATTTTTTTTTTTCTCTACTACTTTGAGTTAAAAACAGGGTTAATAACTTTCACAGAATTGTTAAGTGCATAAAATTACTCCATTCAGTACATAAAGGTAGTAAAATGTGTCTACACTTCATTAAAGCAATATGTCTCACACCACAAAAGGTTTTCCAATTTAAAAATTATTTATTTATATATGCTGTTAAATTTTATTTGCAAATATGTTGCCTTTTATGTCTCCAAAATGCTCACTAATCCTTGTCAACTTTCTCTATAATTGCAAATTTGGCAATAAAACTTTTAAATATTTGGTTTTTTGGTACCAGGAATTGAAGCAAGGACCTTGTGCTTGCCAGGCAGGTGTTTGTGCTGCTGTGCTATATCCCTGGCCCTTAAACAATTTAATATTCAGAAATATATACAAATAGTATCATATAAGAGCAAAGAATAATAATCGTATTAATTGCTTTCCTGTTCTGTCCTTAAAAGATAACAACATTTTTAGTTAAAGTTTATATCCATTTGAATTTATCTAATATTGCAATAATGTTCAGATGGAAATTTTATAGTATAAACACTCTCATGTCTGAATTACTGGGAATTAATTAATTCTTGACATATGTGGCTACATGGCCTATGAACTTACCTACATTTAAGTTTTATGCTTTCAGTATCCTTAGTCATATTAAATACTTACCTTATTGCATGAGCCCTCTGAGCTTGCCAAACAGTATTATACAAATAAAAAATGGGAGATACCTCAGTGCTCTGCTTACCCATCATCTGTGGTAATAGAAGCTTGTCCATGAGATCCACAGTCACTGCTGGGACCTGACACGCGAGCCCATGCTACATACCACCAGCCAGCTTGCAGGAGAACTGGTTCATCGAACATCATTGCATACTTTTCTCTGAGAAAAATTAGTGAGTCAAAATAATTCCTTTGTACCTCCCTATCACATATACTTATTTTTTAAGGAAATTATTTATAACAGGGGTTGGGGAGATAGCTCAGTAGAAAAAGTGCCTGCCTGGCAAGTGTAGGGTTTTGAGTTCAATCCCTGGTACTGCAAAAAAAAAAAAAAAAAAAAATTAATAATAATAATAATAATTAAATAAAATTTTAAAAAAGAAAGAAAAAAATTGTTTATAACAAAAAACATAAAATTAATTATATTTTAAGATCCTTATTAGATAATACTTTTGAAGTCTTCACAAAGACAAATGAACAGCAGCTACTTGTGTCATAGTGACAGTTATCTTTCTTTTCCTGAATTCTATAACATGCTTCCATCTTATAAAACTTTGACATTAAGGTAAATACTTTTAGATTAATATTTTAAAAAGCATGCAAATTTTTACAGAAAATTGAAGTTTGAACTTCAGTCTAAAATTATTTTACTCAGTGCATTTCCTTTTTGAGGTAGGATATTTGGAAAATGGCTCCGAAATTAAGTGTTCTGGTTTGAGGATTACTTCTGTGACTTGTTAACTAGGGAACTTTGGGCAAACTGCTACATTCTCTTTGTACCTTCACTACTTTCTCTGAAAACAAGTGAAGATAATGTCTAGTTTATTCAGTTGTTCTGATGATTGAATTAATTCAGACAAAGTGTTTGAAACTGAGGATCTCACACTAACTAGACAAAGTGTTTAGGAATCTAGAAGAGGAACTAGAGGTGCGACGCAATGCAACAGCAATTGCCTATAGTAAGTAAAGCCCTCAGTTCCATCCTCAGCACCAAGGCCCCACACAAAAATGAAAAGAGAAAAAAGTCACATATAGATTGAAAAATCTGTTAAAAGGATATAAGGAAATTATAAACTTCTAAAGATAAGGATTTTAAATAGAATTGAGGAGAAAAAAAAAGAGCATTTAAAGTAAGAGGAAAATGTTATATGTTACAAATGAGTCTGGACATAAAAATGCTTCAGAGGTTCAAGGAACAGTAAGTTGTCATGTTTTGTTAGCAATAGGTAGAGAAGAGTACTAAACTGAGAGTCAAAACAAGATGCTAGCGTTATCCCTAAGAGTCCGGGCTTGGTGAGAGGCAGTGAAAGAAATCTAAATGATTCCTTATATATGAAACTACACACTGTATTTGACTCACAGTCACATGCTCAAAAATAAATGGTAGTCAGTTGGTATTATATACTTGTAATCCTAGCACTCTAGAAAGGTGATGCAGATTTTGGCCCAGCCCGGGCAATTTAACAAGACAAAAATAAATTTAAAAAATAAATAAAATTAAAAGCGGGGGAAGATGCTGAGGATGTAGGTCAGTACAAAGGCTCTGGATTCAATTCCCGCAGAAAATACATATATACAACATAAATGTCAATGATTATTACGACTTGGCAAAGTTCACAGATATTAACTAACTTTCTGGAAATTTTCCCTTATGCTAAAGATTGCTAAAAACCAAACAAACAAAAAACACCCCTTGTAATTGGGATTATTGCTTGATGAAGAAAGTCAAAATTTTCTTTATTTTTTATTTTTATTTTTTTGCAGAACTGGGGATTGAACTCAGGCCCTGGTGCTTGCCAAGTAAGTGCTTACTCTACTGAGCCATCTCCCTGGCCCCCAAAATTTCTTTAAATTCACTTAGAGTCTCAAGAATATGTAACTAGTAAACACAAAATGAATGCCTTATTAGCATCCTTACTTCACAAAATATATTTATTTTTTCTATCAAAAAGCTTATTTACACTCCACAACTATCACTTTAAGGTTCAGTTTGTATTTTTTCCCACCATAATATTCCCCGACTCTAGTCATTAAAGTGTTACAGCAGTGTTGAGATAATTCCTAGTATTGCATAGAGAACTGATAAAATCTAAATCTCTTCTTAATGAACTTCATAAATAAATGTAATGTTTTTAGTAACTTCCCCACACCTTTCAGTAAGGCTGACACTCTAGTACAATACTATACTACTAGGATGATGTCAGGGTACACAGGTGATCTGAATTATGTCCTACTATGACTATCGGGCATCATCATAGCATGTATATATATGAATGATAGTGACTATATCATACGATGAAGGTACGTTGTGTAAGTACCCTGCATGATTTTTGCAAAAGGGTAAAATCACCTAAAAAAGACTGGCCAAATAGCTCAGCAGACTAAAGCGCCTGCTTAGGCAGAGCTCAGTGCTGAGGGTTTGATCTCTGGTGTGTGTGTGTCCCCAGGGTGTGCTGAGACAGCGATTGAGACTGGGCATGGTGGCACACACCTGCAATCCCAGCAACTTGGGGGGCTGAAAACAGGAGAATCACTATGAGTCAATTTATGTAGTAAGACGCTGTAGACCCTTGTCCTAAAATTAAAAAAAAAAAAAAATCACCTAACAACCTATTTCTCAGAAGAATCCCATCCTTGGGTAACATATGATATGTATTTTACATGTCACATATATAATGTTACAGATAAATGACTGTAGCAGTCACTATGTTCTAGGAGACATTAAAATAGCATGTGTAAAGCATGTATATTTCCATTTTATCTTCAGTGGTGAATCAAATTATCTTGTGAAATAATACCATGAAGAATACTATTTTTAATGCAGCAGCATCATTAAAAAGATGCTTGCATCTTAGCTATATGCTGCATGATATCTTAGTCAAAAAGAGATCACACACAGAATGGTGGCTATGCCCTATGGTCAAACTATGTAGCAGCCTATCCCATCCAGGTTTGCATAATTACTCTCAATGATTTTCTCACAGGGATGAAATAATCTAACAGCATGTTTCTCTGAAGTAACCCGTCCCTAAATTAGACTCAATAGTATATCATTTAATTTCTCAAGCACATATGTAGCAGATTATTTAAAGTGTCATTTAAAATTATGCATTCTAATAAATTTTAAACTTTAACTATGTAAGAATTATACTGAACAAAGAACAAATTTTTTACCTAGCAGCACAGTCATAAGCCAGCACATCAGTCTCTGCAAGAAGGTCCCCATCAGTTTCATGATCTCCTCCATCTGGACCCAACTCAAACAACTAGAGAAAAAGGAAAAGCAATTTTTCCCAATCATTCACTTCATAAATCTTTTTTTTTTTTTTTTTTTTTGCGGAACCAGGGATGGAACTCAGGCCCTCGTGCTTGTCAGGGAAATGCTTATTCTACTGAGCCCAATCCCTCACTTCATAAATCTGCTGAAAACAGCATTTATAATTTGTGAGCATCCAATATACACTGACATACACAGAAGATAAAAGGAATGTGGCATGGAAAAAGGAAAGCTGTACAGCATGAAAAATAGTCATAGAAAAGGAGAGAACCACAATGTAGGTGAGGAAAAAAGATACAAGATATTAATGGGAAATGGTTATAAGATTAAGTGAAAATAAAATGAACTATGAGGGAAGAATTTTTAAATGGATTAATATGTACTTTTTAAAAGCTTTTTTCTTCAAAGAATTATGTAAGTGAATTTTTGAAAAGGTGGGTAAAATATTAAAAATGCATTAAAATGTAGTGAATAGGGACTGTGCTAGGTATCTTAACATTTTTAATTACATGCTTTTGATTTGGAAATCTGTCTCTAGCCCACATCTTTATCTCAATGGCCACTGAACAATGATGTCCCCCATATAAATGACCATACTTTTCATAAAATTGTTAATCTTTCTTCTGTTTTTCCTTGCTCTCATTAGTGAAACTTTCATTCACCTGATTATTCAGGCAAAACCCCAAGAATAATCCCTTTTCTGTATTTCAGTCATCATTCTATCTATTCTCCAATGCAATTATTACTCCAATGGTGGCCAAAACACTACTATGATGACCTGTCTTCTTAGGCTTTTGCTTCCCTGACTTAGCTCATGGGCAATGAAGCAGAAGCGTTCTACTTTGTTTTGATGGCTCCTAGTACTCAGCAAAGTAGGTACCTGATCAAAATACTTTCTTACTGAATGTTTTAGTGGTTTCTTACCTTCTTCATAGCATCATGTAAAAGTCCATGATGATTGAACCCTGATTTGGCTCTCTTTACATTCAAAACTACTTGAACACATACTTTTTTTTTTTTTTAATCAAATTGGTAAGACAGTGTCAATATTTAACACATTGCACACATTCCTCCCAGTGGTTAATTGCTATACAAGATGCGGACATGATATCCTATCTACAAACACCATTAGAACAAATCACTCTATTCACTAAAAGAATGTAACTAGATATCTATCCTAACCACTCTGAATACACAGATACAAAATGCACATTCATCTGTATACCCCTTTTTTGTTAAGTTCCATTATTTGAATATTATAGGTATGTTAACTCAGCAAAATAATCTAAAAGAGTTCAGTAGTCCATAATAGTATTGGGTTTTCTGCTTGACTGGCAATGTCAGAAAGTGTTGACCTGAGTCCCCTACAGCTCAACATAACAGCATGACTTTACTTCTTATATTTTGTTTTTATACTTTTCTGCTGGATGGTTAAGACCAAGATAAAGCACGACCCATGGAACAAGAGTTGTAGCTTTTGGGTCTGAGAAGGTCAGTGAAATCCACTCAGGATTTATCCTGAGATCCTGTACCTCAGATTGTTTGTCAGTGTCAGCCATGTGGATGAATCATGGCCATTGCTTGGCCAATGTGCTCTCCGTGAAAGCCTGAGAGAATGTTTTCTCTCCATATGACTCTCCTTAGGCACACTCTACATCATCGATCACTTTCCTCTTTGGCCCCATAATCTTCTTAGTCAGAAAATTTGGGACACTACCAAGTTACATGACGTTACAGTACAAGTTCTCATATGTCCTGAGTCTTAATTGACCTTGGAAGGCTAGGGTCAAAAAGTTGGCTTTCCTTGCAACCCTCCTTTTCATCTAATTTTGGTCTGCAAACTTAGGTTGTTAACCATCCAGAAGACAAGCTTATTGTTATTACCTTACAACTTAGGCTGTTAAGCTTAACCTCACTATCTGTCTGCATATCAAACATCTTAGGCATAATAAGGAACAGGTATTTTTCATCAAGTATAGATATGTTGAACTTTAAGTCCCTACATAATACGATAAAAAACATTTAAAAATTAGAATATATTTTAAAAATAGGTATAAAGAATTATATACTTCTTATGTTTACACATAAGTCCAAAAATCTCACCATATACAACCTTGAAGCAGGATAGTATTGCTTTTCATGTCTTTTGCTTTCATTCATCACCCCTTCTTTTTGAACAACCATCTGCCCAAGAGACTTCATAGCAGCAACTGGCATGTCATGACAAGCAGCCAGTATTCAGAAGACCAGAATGACAGGCACTCCAAGCATGAAACTACTATTACAGATTACCATCTGCAGTGCAGTTGCTTAGTTCACAGGTATCAGTGTAGATAGTTAGTCAGGGTGAGAATCTTTCCAATTAACTGCTAGATTAAAAAAATCTTCTGGAGATTCTCAGGATCATTGCCTTGCCTATCTTCTACATATAACTGTATATCTTGACATTGTCATGTTTCCTAACTCTTCTCCTTTCCCTCTCTTGATTAGTTAGTCCTCGAGATCCTGCTTCCCTTTTACTTGTATTATATCTTTCTATTTGTATTTCTTCTTTTGAGTTCTTATACTAGGGAAACTATATGATATTTACACATGTGTGTCTGGTTTATTTCACTTATGAGTATATGTTCAACTAGCATCCACTTCAATATAAAGGCTTCGAGTTTATCATTCTTAATAGCTGAATAATACTCCACTGTGTAAAAATACCACATCTTTTTCAAACATTCCTCAGGTGATGGACATCTTGGTTATTTCCAAGATTTGGCTATCACAAATTGTGCTACTATAAACATAGGCACATATATATCACTATGATATGATGTTTTCAGATCCTCCAGGAAAATTCCCAGTAGAAGAATAGCTGTTTTAAATGGGATTTCCAGTCCAACTTTTCTAAGGAGTCTCCATACTGATTTCCATAACGGTTGCACCAGTCTACATTCCCACCAGCAGAGGAGAAGGGTTCCTTTTTCCCCACAGCTTCTCGAACATTTGTTGTTGGGTGATTTCTTTATGATAGTCATTCTTTCTGGGGTGAGATGATATCTCAATGTGGTTTTAATTTGCATTTCTTGGATGGCTAGTGATGTGGAGCATTTTTTCATATATTTATTCGCTTCTTTAATTTCTTCCTCTGAGAAGCATGAAAGCAGAAGGGTTTTTTGTTTTGTTTTGTTTTTTTCTCTAAATGCTTTCAGGGAAGCTTTGGCTGGCTTGAGTTGTGGGGATCAAACCACAGCAACCTGAGCCTGACTGCTTTGTTGAAGCAGCCACTTAAAGAACTGAGCTAAGGGGCAGGCCCCCTTGAACACATACTTTGTACCAGAGCAGTTTAAGAACTGGATAAACAATACAGCATAAACCATACAACTAAAAAAAAAGAGGGGTACTGGTTATGAGTCTGTGGTAAGGCTCACAAGGAGTGGAAATCTGAAAGTGCTAAGAAGTGAGCCACACTGAGGAGAGTTGTAGTTTAGAAGAGTCAATTCAAAGGTTCTGAAGCTACACATGTTTAAGAAACAATAGCAGGCCAGTGTGATAAGATTATAGTGAAGCAATTGGAACAATGTAAAATCAGAGAATTCTGATGGAATTCTGATGGAATCTGCTGTGTGCCATTCAGACTGCTGTATTGAGAACTGACTGAACTGGGTAAGGAAAGAAGCAAAATACAAGGTAGGAGACTACCTTTAATCATATGAAAATGGTTAAGATATGGACCAACTTGGTAATAGTCATGTTTAGTGGTGGGTAAACTGTAGATTTATTTTGAAAGTGAAGTTAAAAATATTTGTGATTGAAGTGTATATAGGTGTGAAAAGTAGAGAGAAATCAAGGATGACTCAAAGATTTTTGTCCTAAGCACCTATAAAACTAAAGTATATTCTAAGTCAATAAACTGAGATAGGAAAAATGTGGGTATAATCATCAGAAACAGTTCTGAATGTTCTTCCCCCACAATTAGACTTCAAGCAGAAGAAAAAAGTATTCAGAGGCATAAGGCTGGATCATTCTGGGGATGAGTATAACACACACACACACACACACACACACACACACACACACAAACTTTACAAATGAATAATTGAGACACGATCATTATCAGACTTGTGGGGTCACTGAATCATCCTACCTCAGCCTCTCAAGTAGGAAAGTGTGTACTGCAGCAGAAGTTGGAAAAAACATACTCTAAAAACAGGTCCAAAAATGAGTTTGACCTTCAAACACTTCAAAATTAGCCCAAGGAACAACTGGCAGCATACTAGGAAATGAACCGGATAGAAGAATAGTGAAGTGTCTTGATAGGCAAGTGAAGAAAGTATTTCAAAACAGAGCCTCAACTGAATTAAATTTGGCTGATAGGCTATGGAAGGTGAGGACTGTGACTTGACCATTGGTTTTAATGATATTAAATATCATTAGTATTTTGATAAGAATAATTTCTGCAGAGCAGCTGGGGAAAGACCTTCCTAGACAAGGTTACAGAAGAGATAGGAAGACAAAAAAGGCAGAAAACACAAAAGCATAGGAACAAAGACTAGTTAGTTCAGTAATCTAAGAAAAACAGTCTGGGCTGGTAATGGAAGAGACATTTATAGGGGTAGGAAGACCAATTAGGAAAGAGATCTAGGTGGCTGGCTTCCTCCAAGCATATGCTGGATGGTACTATTAACAAGACAGGGGTGCCTGAAAGAAATCTAGGTCTTAGGGGAAGAACACAATTCAGGTGAGAGGCAATAACAAAAACTGCCATGTCTTCAGACCATTTACATGGAAATGGGTAAGTAAAAAAGAAATACACCTGGAAGTAGAAATTTTAGCATCATGTAATGCTAAAGACTAGTGAAACTTCAGGTTTAGAAAACAATGCCTAAAAGAAAACACTGAATGAGAAAGGAAGACCACAGACTAAGCCTAGAGAAATTCCACCAATTAGTGGCCAAGATGAAGAGAACAAACATATAAAGCAACAGTCATAAAAATGAA